GGTCAGAAGAGTTCAAGAGGTCAAAAGTAGTTTTCTGGTTAAAAAAACATCTCTTTCACTGCGACTTTGAGACTTTACGTAAAGAGTTCAGAGCTGTATGAGAGTATAAAACAAATACTACTAACACTCGTCAGTACTTATAAAGAGCAACTTAATTGATTTGCTGCTGAGATCAAAAACAGAATCTGTGCAGCAGACGTGCAGATGTCCTGACTTCTAGTCCCAAAACACTGGATCCTACATTTCCCATAATGCAACTGGATATTAACACAGACACACGCTTTCCGTTGGTGGCCTCCAAGTCCATCGACAACCCTGATGACATCATCAGGGTGTACGTGAACTAACCACTAACAGCCTTATTGATGTGTAAACCTGGTGTAACGGCCTTTTAACTGCCCTGTTAATTATTACAACTTTTACTGCTAAAACCTAGTTGACTCTTCATTTAATTACAAAATAGATCGCATCTTTGTCCAGTTTTTTCTGCTTTCAGGCAACACAGAAATGAAAAATCACAGCTTGTTGTTTTTTTCAGTTGTCTCTGAAGCTTCAGCGCGAACAAAAAAGCACCGAGCAGGAGCCAGACACCATTTTGTTGGCACGGCTGGCACACAGTCTGGCCTGCTGTGGGGGCTCTGGTGAGGGTCTGTGTAGCTAAGGATCCCCCCGCCATCATCAGGGTGGTGAGGGGGGGGGGGGGGTCCTTAGCTTCACAGAGCCAGCACATTTCACCGCTACCTACATCCCTACATGACGACCTCCGCAAAAAAAAGACCTTAATATGACTGTGTGTGTGTCGGAGGAGGAGAAGAAGAAGAAAGAGAAAGAATGAAAAAAAGATGCAAAGGAAGGGAAAGGACAAATACAAGAAGAGAAGAAGAAAATGAGAAACAATGATGAAGAGAAAAGAAGAAAAAGAAATCAAATCAGAAAATACAGGACTGAAGAAGAAATATTAGAAATGTGGGAACATTGTGGAGAAAGGAGAGCAAAGATAAGATAAATAGAGGTGTAAAAAAAGCTCATAGTTTGTTCTCCTCCACTCCTCTTCCTCCCTTCTGCTTCTCCTCTTTCACTTGACTCCTTTAATTTTACCTCCCATTAACGGGCAATGATGCAGAATTAATGGTCTTCACCAATCCACTGCTAAGATCTGACCTTCAGGTCTGATCAGGTCCGGTAGGGTCCAGTTGTAATGCAGCAGTGATCATGGCTCATCATCATCATCATCATCATCATCATCACAAGAGAATAAATCAATATGTTGATGACATCTCTACTGCTGTTCTTTTCCACTGTGGCAGCTGGTATATTTGTGGAGCATCCACATGCTGCTGTCGTGTTACTGTTCGCTCTGATCTGATCCAACTGTCCTCCAGTCTCTTACCCCCCCTCCCAAGACGAAAAAAAACAAACCGGTGTTTATTTCTATGAAAGTCCAAGATCAAGTTCAGACGCCATTACTCAACGCAGAGGTACAGTGTGTGTGTGTCCTATGTTTGTTTGTGTTGTGTTCGGGATCAGTCGGCTCTGGCAGCCTCTTGAGCGAGAGCAGAAATATGTTCCAAGCTGGAATATTTGCAGAGGGGAAATCCGCTGGAATATTTGCAGTGGGGAAATCCGCCGAAAGCTCGACGTTGACAATGCACTCTAAACCGGATTACCTGACTTCACCTCGCCGCACGTCGAGGGATCAGCTGATATCTGCCTCACTGAGGGGGGGAGGGGGGAGGAGGAGGACACCAACCTGAACGCTCTGAACTGCTCCTTCATTTCACCCAAAACCGTTTTATTTCTCCTGCTCAAGCTTTAAATTGAAGTGATTTTTTTTTATTATCAGTAAGTCCACATGTCTTCAACACACAATCTATTTATATTTTATTATAATTACATTTGAATATGATCGGATAGAGGAGACATGTTGGTGGGATTTAGCTCTGTCAGAAAACGTATTGATCGTGTAAAATATGTTTTTGGTCCTGAGTTTTGGAGGAGGATTTAACAGTTCCACTGAGCTTTTTTGAATCAAAACCAGCTCGTTGTCGTTGCTTCTCGTAACTTAATTTGTTTTATTTGTTTCCCCACGCTGTAGAAAAACAGGTTTGTTTCTTCTTCTGCGTTCCGTCTGTGGTCGACCTGCTGACAGAGCGCCGACCATGTGTTCCTCTTTATGAATGAGCCCCAAAGCTCATTGACCATGAATGGTACAATGTGTGTGTGTGTGTGTGGTGGGTCGGGGGTGTTCCCGTGGTCACAGTGTGTACCACAACACAAGTATGTGGGGTTGTTTTTACGCCTTAAACGGCTCCACGTGACGACAACTGGAGCAGTGGCAGGAGAAGGAGAAGAAGAAGAAGAAGAATAGGAATAGAAGAAAACGTACGAGAACCACACATGCGCACGCAAGTCGCCATCTTTGACTTTTCTCTGGTAGCGTCAGGAATCTTCATCAGACCTGCTGAGAACTGATTTTGTCTTTAAATGTCACATTTAAAAGGGACAGTTTGCGTTTTCTGCTCTCTGTTACAGTTTGATCTGGATATCAGCTGCACAAAAACAAAGACACAAAAAACTGTCCAGAGAACAGTTATTAATTCTGCGGATATAGACATTTTGTAAGATATCTTGTTAAAGCATCTTCCTTTAAAAAAAAAAAAAGAATGTATCTTAAATAAAGCCCCACAATGTTTGCACTGAATAACACAAACCAAAAGATGATATTCACGTTACATCACTCTGATACATCTTTGTCGCGCTCGTGCTGGAGGATACGGGCGGAGCGGCGGATCAAACCCCCCGAGCTGCACCGACAGTTTTGAAGAGGTTTTGCTTCACAACATTTCACTGATTTATGGAGCTCCAAATTAAAAGCTGCCGTTTTCATATTCAGTCATTCTGCCTCCCTGTTTTGTTTTTTTTGCTGGTTCAACTTTCCTTTCTTTGACTTTTAGATTTCCACGCGCCCTACATCATTCTGCACATGACGATCAAGATGCACAGTTTCCACTTAAAATCTTTTGAGTCTTAAATCCCGACATATTTTTTATCTAGCGAGCTCCTGAACGCAGCACGCCTCCAGCTTGGGGAAACAACAGAGAAGTAAAAGCAGTGAGTCCTGCTGCATTTTGTCCTACAATACTAAACATTAAACAGATACATAAAGGGACGCTTCAACCCCCAAAATAAAAAAATATATTGATTTGAAAAACTCATGACCCGGCGACTCCAGATCAATCCACAGACCTTGTTGTGAGCAGATTCATGGAGGAACTATTTTCTTTCCGCCATAGTTCCTTCATGAAACTGCTCATTTGGTATCGCGAGAATGGGAAATAAAGCTCCGAGAGTCTTAACGTGTTTTGAATTCACGGAAACGTCAAAGATGGTGGAGCAGAGGTTTGTGTGTTGCATGTGCATGAGTGACTGTGTTCAGGTGAGTGTGTGCGGGGAGTCGTGTGTGTAGTTTAGGGGTCGGCTGGTCAGAGCTCCGGCAATTAGTTCAGAGACGAAGCTCCAAATCTCTTTAAGAGCTTAGGAGGACGGAGGGAAGTGGGTCAGACGTCTTTACACAAACACACACACACACACACACGTGATGCACGCTTGCTGTTTGCGTGGTATCAACCCTGCAGGTCGTGTAAGGTGAACTGGAAACCTTCACATTCTGTAGGTTGGACCCTGGTTATCTCACCCGACACATGATATCCTCCAATTGTGCTGCCGGAGAAGCTTTCTGAAGGACCACGTGAGGTGAGATGAAGTCACACAAACACTTCTACGTCCTACATCTAGTACGCACCAGTAGATGGACACCAAAAGTAACTAGAAAATTCCTAAAGAAATTTTGACAGTGTGGCTTCTACTGCCCGAAGAAATCGCAATATATACACACGCCAATGTTACCGGTAGTGTCATTCAGGTTCAATTGAGATAGCGCTACTCTCTTTTCTGCATTTCAGATTAATACTCTTGGATTGCATCTTGTATTTGTGGGGCTTTTATTTTGAAAGGGTGGGACTGGGTGGGTGAGAGAGGGGGAGAGGAGACAGAATCATAATGTTTGACACTAAAATGAAATGAGAGGCTTTATCACAAGCATTCCAGTTAGAATTCATTCTGTGGGGCTTTTAATTTGAAATGGGGGGAGGGGGGTGGTGAGAGGGGAAAAGTCCTCTAAAAATATCTAAGACCCTAATGACTGTATGATAGAGAGAGACACAGAGAGAGAGACAGACAGAAAGATAGACAGAGAGGAGAGAGAGGCTGAGTGAGACAGGCAGACAGACAGTTAGATGGACTGAGTGAGTGGGTGAGACAGGCAGATAGACAGTTATAGGCTTTTATTTTAAAATGGGGGGGGGAGTCCTCTAAAAGTCTCCAAGACCTGAATGACTGTATGAGAGAGACACACACAGAGAGAGACACACACAGAGAGATAGAGGGAGAGGAGTGTATGTGTGTGTGTGTGTGTCTCTCTCATACAGTCATTCAGGTCTTGGAGACTTTTAGAGGACTCCCCCCCCCATTTTAAAATAAAAGCCTATAACTGTCTATCTGCCTGTCTCACCCACTCACTCAGTCCATCTAACTGTCTGTCTGCCTGTCTCACTCAGCCTCTCTCTCCTCTCTGTCTCTCTCTCTGTGTCTCTCTCTATCATACAGTCATTCAGGTCTTAGATATTTTTAGAGGACTTTTCCCCTCTCACCCCCCCCCCTCCCCCCATTTCAAATTAAAAGCCCCACAGAATGAATTCTAACTGGAATGCTTGTGATGAAGCCTCTCATTTTAGTGTCAAACATTATGATTCTGTCTCCTCTCCCCCTCTCTCACCCACCCAGTTCCACCCTTTCAAAATAAAAGCCCCACAAATACAAGTTTCAATCCAAGAGTATGAATCTAAAATGCAGAAAAGAGAGTAGCGCTATCTCAATTGAGCCTGAACGACACTACCGGTAACATTGGCGTGTGTATATATTGCGATTTCTTCGGGCAGTAGAAGCCACACTGTCAAAATTTCTTTAGGAATTTTCTAGTTGTTATTTATGATTCATTCATTCATCATTTAGGAAGCTCAAACCACAGAATGATTTGTTACTTAATGGCTTAAAGTGTCAACTGAGTAAAAGAACTTTCACTTTTCAACCTAATGACCTTTTGTCCCCAAATGACCAAATCCGGCGGAGGACTTGGACCCCAGAGACCAGGGTTCACATCCTGCCTAGATTTACACAATAAAAGCATCTGGTTAAGGATCAGGAAAGATGACTTTTGGTTGAATATGGTTAAAAACACATCCTTTCTGTGCAACATTTAACCAGGACTTCATCTTTCCCTCAACTTTTAATGAGAGCTGCGAGAGTCTAACCACGACCATAAAAATGTCATTCATGCAGAAAGAAATTAAATAAAATATGCAAATATTTTGCAGATGCACTCAGTATTCAGTAATTTTGCAACTTAAATATGTTCTTTTAAAAAAATGTTCCATTGGTAAATGAACCAATCTGATTTTTTCAGTTCAGATCAAATACTAATACTTTGGGTATCGCTAATACAGAATATCAATCCAATAGCAGTGTTTATTTAATGAGCTGTGTGGAAGTGACTGGGATCATTATTTTATGTGTCAGATTTGTTTTCCTAACTTTGTACAATGAAATGTAACAAATAAATACATAGATATAAATGCACTGAATTGTTAAGGTATCCGATAGCAGATCGGCCCGTTGTTGCTGATACCTGATTCGACTATTTGAGTCAGTATCTGTCCGATATCCGATATCAGTATCAGTGCATCTCTAGTTGAAAACTGTAGCCACTCCGGTCTGAAACGAGAGCAACAGGAGAACTATAAGGAAAACCAACACCTACTGTACGAGTACGACAAGAACAAAAAAGACAATTGGAGAATAAAAAGTGTGATCGGCAGGACAAGTCAGAGTCAAAACGGCAAGATAATAGAAAAATAAATGTCCTAAAACAGGACTTCAGCCAACAGAATCTCTTCAAGTGAAAACAGAAACACTGACAAACTGCAGAAACGAAGACGAACACCAACCAGCTCAACTACCAAGCTGAAACCAACTTCAGCCCTTACGTCTTTTGAGGTTTGTTAACCGTCCCGCTGCTGAACACTCACAGGATTAAATAATAAATGGTTGGTGGTGCGCTGCGGTTTCCGCTGGCAACACCGTTGGTCCTCAGCCCCCCTCCCCCCCTCCATCCCGAGCGATGCGGGCATGAATTTAATTACCGACTCTTTGACGTCCTGACAGGCCACGCCTCCGGTCCTGCCAGCCCTCTGAGGTCAGTCCGAGCTTCACGTGGCTTTTAATCAACGCCGCCGCTCCAGAGGAGCTCCGCTGCCTTAAATAAGAGGCAGGAAGAAACCCGATCCTTCTTCGCCCAGACTAGGGGCGGACGAAGAGGTGTGGGAGGGCATCCAGTTTTGCTCGTCTCCCTCTCAAGAGACTAAGTCCTGAACACTCAAAAAGGCTTCAACATTCTGGAATCAAATGTAAAACCTAAATTTAGCAAAAGACAAAACCAAAACCAACATATTCTCAAGACTTGCCACCACAAATGCTCTGTGACAAGCAGCCAAACCCCAGTTTATTCAACCTCACTGAGGGTTTCTCACTCTGTGCCAAGATCCAGAGCTTTTCCGACCGAGCGTCCACCCTCGAAATAAAACCGCAAACACGGCGACTGCAGCAGCAGCAGCAGCAACGTTTTCCTCTTGGACTGAAGGGAGCTCAGTGTGAACCTGCACACAGCTGATCGCTGCGACCGCACTGTGATAACACACACATGGGGGGGGGGGCTTAAGTCGGTGAGAGGGAAATTATTGGAGTTATGGTTCAGAGATCTTTCCAGAACGCAAACGAGTGTTTGTGACTGCCGACGGATCCCGGATGAAACGTCACTGCTTTTTCTGACATTAAAAATGTTCCCATGAATGTCCTCTTAAAAAAACTAATCTTTTAAGATTTTCTTTTTCCAGTTGGGTCTGCATTTGAACCCCACCAAAAAGATTTCCTCAGCAGAAAGAAATCAACTTGTTTCTGGTAGAAATTGACAAACAAAAAAAGGAACATTGGGGCATTTTGAGGCAGTTCTGCAGCTTTCAGTCATATCGCATGATCTTCCTCAGCGGCTGGAGTTTATTAATTTAATCATCACACTTCAAATTTCCTGAGCACTTTAAAGACTTCTAGTCCACTTTTGCTTTAAAGTCCAGACGCTTAACGTCTGCTCCTGCTGATGACCATGGGATGTGATCGAAAGGTCCAGAAGCAGCTGCTAAATGGACATTGAGGGGATTTGATTCCAACGTCAAGAATTAACTTTGAAATTCAATAAAAACTAAATTGACTTCAGAAAATACTTCAGAAACCTTTATTGGAACTAGGTTGGAATATTTGATTAAGATTGAATACGATTTTTTCTCAGAAAATAAAACTTTGGGGACTTGATTACAGACGGAAAATGCTAAGTAGAACATATTGAAGTATCAGTTTTCCCAGTGAAGGAATCTGATAGTGGATCTTGTGGATTATTTTACACCGACGCCGTCCTCCTTTTCTCAAGAAAAATCCAAATCCCCAAACAAACTCAGGAGCTCGGTGCCAAGCACTTATACAGTCTGCCAAACGCCTCCTCTGCACGCTCGCTGCTGCACGCACAAATACTCCAACCAGCCAAATCATTTTCCCGTGGAATCAGTGGCAAATCGGGGGAAAACGTGCTGAGCAATCACTCCAAAGATAATTGTTTTTAAACATGGAAGGTGTGCCAGCTTCACCCAGAAAACACAGCGACCTGCTACCGCTCTCAGGGGGCCCGCCAGGGTGACGGGGTTCTGGCACAGACCTTTTCTTGTTTCCTCAGACTTCTGCTTTACTGACCGCTGATGAAATTACGCCTGTCTGCAGCTGATAACACGCTCGCTGGGAGAGGGAGCTGGATTCTTCATCCTCAAACTACCAGATAAACAAGTGTCAGACACACTGATGAGTGTGTATCTGAACCCTAAAAAAGAATAGATCTGGAGAATTTCTGGAGAAAACTTGTTTTTCAGCAGAAACTTTTTCAGCTACTTTTCAAAAAATATCTTGAAACAAGCATTTAGAAGAAGTTCTGAAGCTTTCAATCAAATCACATGTTCTTCCTCAGCAGATGGGACTTTTTTTCTGAGCACTTTAAAAGACTTCTAGTCCACCTTCGCAGTCATTCATTGTCTGCACCCGCTGATGACCATGTGAGACGACTGAAAGGTCCAGAAACAGCTACTAAATGGACCTCGAGGTGAAATTGTTTGCCAAAAGATTCCGACGTCAAGAAGGAACTTTGATGTTCAAGACAAAAAAAATATGATTTTAGAAAACACGCATCTGTAGCCATATAACTGCAACATCTTTGGTTGAATTCCGGCCTCATGACCTTTGTTACATGCCATACCCTTTATCTCTATCTGTTTCCTGTCTGCCTCCACGCTATTGTCCATCTACAAAAGGCTCCCCAAAAAAATTATCTGAAAAAGACAATAATACCCGATGAGTTTAAATCTGACATTTAAATCCCTCCAAGAAAACAGTCCAACATTCTTTGGAATGATTAAGCTGCTTGACCTATTGTCCAAAGTTAGAGTACATCTGCTTGGACCGGTAGCTAACGTAACCCGTCGATGGAAGTAGATAATGTGACAGATTTGTAGACGGATTACAAGCCACAATCAAATTGGAAACTAGAAACAGTAAGTGTAAAACAGGAAAGCATGTAGCTAACATTGACTACTGCTTTCAGTCAGGGATCTTTCCAACGCTCTGAATGTTCCGTAAACGAATATCACAACTAAATGCTCGATTTTTGGCCGAGGATTCCTGTCACCAGTCGATAAGTTCCAGAGTATCGGTGCTATTTGTTTGAAGTAATGTGACACTTTTCAGCCACGCATCACAGAATGCCACAACAAACAGGACTGTGGAGCATCAGATGTTGCGAAAGACCAAACAAAGAGCTGCAGCTTCAGCAGCTCGGCGACACAACACACACACACACAAAGAAGAAGAAGAGAACTTACCTGCGTGCACGAAGTAGGCCAGGTAGAGATCCAGCTCCTTGACGGAAACTCCAATGTGATGCGGCTGCACGCACAGGATGTGGTTCGAACACTGCGGAGACTTTACCAGCCTCTCCCCGTCAGTGCTTTCGAGGGGAATCCCTTTGAATAAAATCACCATGACCAGGTCCAGCCTCCACACTTTGTCCGCCTGGCGCAGGCAGTCGATCCGCCTCATCTTGCCCTTCTGGTCGGGGTTGGACAGCACGCAGCACGGCGGCTTCTTCCCCGTCACCGTCAGCACAAAGTCCTCCCGGAACTCGGGCCGGATGTCCTTGCGCAGCTTGGCCAGGAGGCGCGACGCCCACTTCTGCTTAACCTCGGGTTTCTCGCCGAGCAGCTCGTCCTTCACGGCGCGCTCCTCCTCCTTGGACATGCGCTTCTCGTGCTTCTTGAAGTACTTCCTCTTGCGGGCCTGCAGGTTGAACCATGTGTAGGCGAAGGCCCGGACGTGGGGCAGCAGGGCTTCGATGAAAGGATGGAATTCATCCTGAGGGACAGAGAGGAGAGTTGTGGTGAGACGGGGAGGGAGCAACAGGTTAATGCAAAAGTAGATTTAAGAATGGAAAAATGATAACAGTATCATATGTATATATATGTATATATATATACATATATATATGTATGTACTGTGTATCATGTTGCTCCATCTCTTCATTGAAGCTGTTAAACAGACTGATTCAGCTAAACCACAGACTGTATATAAGAAGTCGACGCAATCGTGACGTCACCCATCGGTTTGTGGACTGACATTTTGATGGTTTAAGTTCGTCAATTTCGCCGTCGCCATCTTGGATTACGGCCGTCGCAATGTTGTTTATTTCTGCAACCGATGAACAGAAGTGACCATATTTGGAATGCGGAGGAGTGACGTAGAGACGACGTATACGGGTCAGGTAGCGGCAGCGACCTGTCAATCACAGTAAGCCCCCCCCCTAAAGCATACCCTGCTTTATGGTCTGTTTGACTCTAAATGGACCGTAATTTACTAAATGAACATCATACTGTATTGAAGAAGACTTGAAACTAGAGATTGAGACCATAAACTCATGTTTACAATGTTTACTGAGGTAATAAATAAAGAGAGAAGTAGAGTCATTTTCTCATAGACTTCTATACAATCAGAGGAGTCGCCCCCTGCTGGACTTTAGAGAGGATGCAAGTTTTAACACACTTCCACATTGGCTTCACTCGGCAGAACTGGAGGTTGCCATCTGAGCCGAACGTATCCGGTATCTTTGGATCTCCACTAGATCTTGAAATAGGTTTCTGAGTTTGAACAAAGTTTGGCTGCACAGTACAGTTTGTAATGATTAAAAAACTAGTAGTGAAAAGTAAATTGTAAAAACTGGACACTTAGTAATTACTAACTTGTTTTTAAAGATGCCAGTGTAGCTAGATCAGGATTTGTTTTTCCTAACATGGGGTTTTGTATCATGAACAGAGAAAAGAACACATTTCTACACTACAGAGAAACGCCCGGAGAACTCCCCAAAGGGATACTATTTTAAAAGTTTTACAGCTTCTAGATCAGCGGGAGAAGAACAGAAAGGAGAAAAGAAGGTAAGAGGGAAAGAAAGATAAAAAAGGAAGGAAGGAAAGATGGAAATAGGAAAGAAAGTAGAAAGTATAAAAGGAAGGAAGAGAAAAAGGAAGCGGGGAAAGACGGAATGTAGAAGACAAGATGGGACACAGAAAGGCAGGATGGAATAGGTGGAAAAAGAGAAGAGTAGAAAGCACAGAGGCAATAAGAGAGAAGAGGAAACCAAAGGAAGGAAGGAAACTAGAAGCAGTGAAGAAAAGAAAGAAAATAAAGAAGGAAAAGAATGGACATCGAAAGGCAGGAGGGAAAGGAGGGTAGAGAAGAAGAAGTAGAAAGCACAGAGGAAGGACACAAAGAAGGAAAGTAGGAAAGGAAGGAAGGCAATAAGAAGCGATGAAGGAAGGAAAGGGGGAACAAAGGAGAAGAAGTAGAAAACGCAGATGACACATAGAAGGAAACTAGGAAAGGAAGGAAAAAAGAACAGAAACAAAAGAGGAGTCAGTAAGTGAGTAAAGAAGGACAGAATGAAAAGCATGGTGAATAGAAAGAATTCAGAAAGGAAGAGAGGAAACTGATGGAGAGAAGGAAAACAGCAGATACAAAAGGAGAGAAGATACGAAAAAAATAAAGAGATAAAGTGTTTTCTGGAGTTGTTTTATTTCAGGCTGCAGCAGAGAGTCTCACCGAGACTCTTCGCTGTCAGTTCAGCCTCTTTCTTGGCTCCCAGGCAGGAATGTGGGTCTTTGGGGGTCTGTGTGGGGTTCTGTGTGGGGGTCTGCCAGCCCCCGAATAAACACAGCGACCGACCAGAATCACACAAACCAAACAGCCGAGCAACAGGCCAGCGGCAGCCGAGCGGGAGGGAAGCTGCCGCAGAACGCAAACACTGGCGCTCTGGGTCGCACCGCGCGGAGGATTATAGCGGCATTAAAGGTGCATTATGTGGCTTTTGGGCTGATGAGGGCTGTGTAGTTATTACCAGGTGGGAATGTGGTTAGACGGCATGTCGTGGATTAGACCCAATTTGGGGTTGGTTACACCTGCCCCCCCCGCACCTCCTCCTCCCACAACCACCACAAAACCAGGCTTATCCCGAGCAGGAAATGAACACATTAGGCTGAAAGAGAAAAGTGTCACAACACGGAGACGGGAGGCTGAATGAAGCGTAGACGGGAGGCACAGAAACAAACACATCCACAGATCTTAAAAAGGCTAAAGGAGGAGGAGTTAGAGGCGGAGAGAGGAGAAGAGCTTCCTGTTAAAATGTTATTACAGCTTGTTGAGGCGATTTTTAAAAAAAGCACAAGGTCTCCGTAAACTCGGAGGCCGGCGAGGTGAGCAGCTGCGCTGTGAAAACCTCAAATATTTAACGTATTAACAACACAATTAGCCTCAAATCTAGTCTGAGAAGCAGGTTTTTACTAAAACGAGGAAACCTTCAGACGGCGTTTTGTTCTTGAAAGGCGTCACGGCACTACGATTTGGAAAAAGCTAGAAACGTGGTGAAGTGGGGAACGAGCCACACTATCTCTGGATCTGAGTATTACTAGTGAAGACAACATACCCCATACCTATATGACACTTTTTCAGATTCCTCAGTTTGAGAAATTTTTACATTTTCCAACGAAAAACCAAAGCAGCTTTACAATTGCGTCTCAATGAAATACAGTTTAAAGGTAAAGTTTTTTAGGGTAAAACTACGACTTTAAGGAGGAATACATGATAAAAGAATGAATCAACAAGCCTATGTATTTTAGCATGATGACTTTTGACAGTCAGAAAAGTATGGAGGTTCAAAACATCTGTCCACAATCTTGTTTGAAGACAAATGGCACTGCAGATCATGTGACCATTGGTCCCTCAATGAATGGGCTCCACCAGCGAATAATAAAAACATTAGAAGTTGAGCAAGTCTCAAGTCTCTGAAACTGATTTTCATAGCATATTAAAATAAGTGGGAATGAATGGCTGCCAAATCTAGATGAATGTTTCTGTAATTCTTTGGCTCTGCAGGTAAAATGAGTCCATAAGATTTGGAGTGGCCCTATAAATATTCTTTTGTTTTGTCCTCAGGGTTTTTTAACGGCAACAAAGAAGAAGAGAAGCTGAACACAGACGGACAGAAAACATCTTCACGGAACATTTCTTATTTGGATAAAAAACCCTCAGAGGGTTACTGAGCAGGACTGGGTGGAGGGGGGAGGAGGCAGGGAGGCTGGAGACCCCCCCCCCCCCTACTGAGCCACGTATTGAAAAAAAAACCACTTTGACTATTCATAGATCAAAGACGCTCACACACATCTTGATACGTGCAAATGCCTCCGATTGGGGTGGCATGTGGATACTACATTATGAGCTGAGCACACACACACACACACACACACACACACACACACACACACACACTGCTTATTTACTTATTACTCACTTAAAGTTGAAAATGTAAAGATACAGACAAAAAAACCTCTTGAAACAAGTTGATTTTTGTTTGGAAGCAGGTTGAAATATATTGTTTCCCTTCTCTCAATGATACACATTTTTTATAAGAATTGTTTTGTAAGGAATGGGTGTCTGCTCAACAATCAAGAACAATGAGAGTTAATGGTGAGCTGCTTTGCTTTAGCAACAACTTGAAATATTCCAACTGAACAGGCAGATTTTCTTTGTTCCTCATATTGTGAAGAGCATTTCGACGTCTTTTCAACATAAATCAAATTGTTTCAAGACTTTTCTACAACTGAGCGTCATTCTTCTTGATTCTAGAGCAACAGTTCGTCTTATTCAACATACCAATGAACAAATCTGAAAAATTCTTGGAACGAGTTGATTTGTGTGGGAATTGTTCCACCACACAGGCAGATTTGTTTTGGTCCCTTGATGTAAGAAAACCAAGACGTTAAGGACTCAATAGAGACGGAAGTGACTTGATAAGAAGGAGGCGTGTTCTCAATTCAACGACGGGCGAGTTAAATGTGCGGATAAGTTTGGAGCTAACGGATAGAGTCAAAATAAACTCCAGTGTGTGTGTGTTCCTGGTGATGAAGGAACACCGATGGCTCACTGGTGTGTTTTTAATGGAGGTCAATGGCACAGAGGAAGAAGCTACATCAGGCTGTGATACAGTCTGAACATGAGATTTGTTGGGATCCTCACACATTTTGATGATCGTTTAAAAACAGCCTCTCATATTCATTTCGAGGTTGTGGTTTAGATATTTTTTTCAATAAAAAAAAAGGGGGGGGGGGGGGGTGTGTATCTACAGGCTGTGCATTAGAGCACCAGCTGCATCGGTTCTTTTTTATATATATATAACATTGTTCAACCCCCCACACCTTGTCAAGGGGTCTGAATACAGCACATTGTTTCTTCTTGGAGACGGTCCAGGCGAACGGGTTTTGTCTCCAAAAGCGCCTCCAGCCGCTCTGCAGCCAGACCTGCCAGCCCTCTTACTGAGCTCTGAGATTCTCACTCCAGGACGGGTTGGGAACGCCGCCTTTTTTGTTATTTGCAGTTTTCCTGAGACGTGTTTCTGTTTGTGCGCATCCTCTGGCAGTTATTAGGACGACAAGCGGCTGCCGGACAGATGATGTGTTCAACCTCCACACACACACACACACACACACACACACACACACACACACACACAC